TCTCTCTCTCTCTCTCTCTCTCTCTCTCTCTCTCTCTCTCTCTCTCTTCATGTCTCTGTCTCTCTCTCCATGTCTCTGTCTCTCTGTCTCTCTGTCTCTCTCTGACTGTCTCTGTCTCTCTGTCTCTGTCTCTCTCTTTCTCCCTCTCCCCCCCTACCATCTCTCACTCCCTGCCCATCCATCCACATACAGGTATCATGCACCAAGGACACTGGAGCTGGGTGCAAAGAGGGCACAGCCCAGGACAGGGCCCAAAGATGCAGAGGAGGGGGACTTAGTCATCTGCTTAGACAAGGAGCTGTGTGGCCACTGTGAGTGGGGATGGGAGTGTTTTCAAGGAGGACCAGCCATGGGACCAGGCACTCTTACAGAAGAGCCTCAGTAGCCATCACCACACTGGCCATGGTGAGGTGGCTCTCTGCCCTCCCATCAGCCTCTGCCCTTCACAGCTAGAGTCTGACACCACCGCAGCTACCCCCACACGCCCCATGACCCCAGCCCTGGCCCCTGCACCTTCGTCCCTGCCCCTACCAAGCATCCCTCAGGGGACAGGGCTGGTTTCCATCCTGACAGTCCTGGCATCCAGCGCACAGTGGAGCGCAGAAGGCACCTGTGACTCCTGCAGGCCTGGGCAGGGCAGAGGAGGATGAGGCAGGGAGCAGCACAGACACAGGCAGAGCAAACAACAGGGTCCCTGGGCTGTGCATCTGCAAACCAAGAGGGGACCCACGTGCCGCAGAGGCTTGGCTGTGCGGCCTTGGCTGCCAGGACAGCCCTTTGGGAGTGCTGGTGTTCTACCATGGGGGATGGCTCCCAGCACCTTTCCACTGAGCTAGTCCCAGACCTTTTCTATTTATTTTTTATTTTGAGACAGAATTTCACTAAATAAGTTGCCTGAGCTAGATTTGAGCTAGTAATCCTCCTGCCTCAGTCTCCCAGGGTGCTGTGACTACAGGCATGTGCCGCCATACCTGGCCTTGTCCTTCCTCTAGACACCCATCCACCCACCCACCACAAGGACCCAGCGGAGACTTTCTGCCCCCAGGAGGGAAACCTGTCAGCCTCCGTCCCTCTCAGCGCCCTTCTAGCCACAGACCCTTGGGCCTCACTTCTCTAGGACACCAGCCCTGCACACGCAGCCACGGGATTGGTCACCATCCTGGTGCCTTCTCCCCAGCACAGAGGTCAGCACTGATGTCCTCTCCTGCATCAGGCAGGGACATGACTCCTTCCGGTCACCACATGTGACTACTGCCCGCCTACCTCCCGCTCCCGATCCCGAATCCCTCCACACCCAGCCCTGGACCCATGGTAGGAGATGGCAGCCTTGGGTCAGAAGGTCCCTGGACTCTCACCCGGGGTGTCCAGCCTGACATGGACAGAGACCTCCTGAGGCCTTGGGGCTCATGCATCCCTGCAGCAGGGCCTGGCCCTGCCTGGTGGAGGCCTCAAGTGCCAGCCTCAGAGCCCCCACACAAACACACCTGTCAGCCAGGTGTCACCGTTCAAGCTCATCCTCTGCCTGAGGCCAGAGTGCTTCCTGGAGCTCCGGGGGAGGGTCTGAGTCCAACCTTACCTTCCACCTACCACACCCCTGGGGCCTTTGCTGCCTGACACTGCCCTCACCAGGTCCTAGAGCCCATCCCAGGCCCTAGCAACTGCCCCACCCACCACTGCAGCCCTAGGGAGGGAGGCTTCTCCGTTATCAGCATTTACTGCCTTGAGGTTACAACAGTAATGCAAAGCAGTCAGTGACCACCACCAGGGAGGGGAGGCCCTGCCACCCCTCCACCCTGCCAGACCCAGGACCCTCCACAGACCCAGCACAACCAGGTGAGAAAGCCATAGGGCTAGGCACTGGGCACCCCGAGAAGAGGAGAAGATGGAGGGGCCTGCAGAGCCCACCACCTGAGGACCAGGCCAGGGAAGGGGCCAAGGCAGCAGCACTTCCCACCCCGCCAAGTCCCTTCCGGCTGCTCTGCACCACCCGGCAGTGGCCAGGACCCTCCTTGTCCGGGAGGCCACTCTGGAGTGCAGAGCCCACTTGGCGATGCCACCTCCCTCCATGCCAGGCTGCTGAGAGTCACGCTGTTGCCTGGGATGTCACTGCCCCCTGGCTGGGAGGGGCCGTGCGCGCTCCACAGACCTGGCGCTGTGCCGCCCGGATACGCCAGCAGGGGGCTCCCCACACCCTCCGTGCCTGCTACCAGGCCACACCTGGGCAGAGAGCACAGCGAGCCTGAAAGCCCCGCTCCCCTGGGGCATGGAGATCAGCACCGAGAGCCCAGGGGCCCCTGCGAAGCTGGGATTGTCCTTCTCTATCGAGTCCATCCTCCGGAAGCCCTCGGGGCAGCGTGAGGCCCCACCTGAGCCCCCTCAGGAGCAGCCCCAGGGTGAGTGGCTCCGAGGGTCGCGATCCTTGCGGGGTGCTGAGGCCCAGCAGGCGCGGGCAGGGGACGCGCTCACTCTGCGGCAGAATGGGCGCCCAGCCCAGGGAAGGGTCAGTTCACAGTCCAGTGCCTCCCGGCCTGTTGGGGTCCAGACTTTTTAGGCACCCCACCCAGGCTCAGGGAACGGCAAGGCCAGCAAGACCCATCCTACTAGGACGCTGGGGACCCTGGAGGCCCTCCAGCTGCTGGCCCCTCTCCCTCAGGACTGAGCAGCAAGCAGCCCCTTCCCTTGGCAGGGACAGCGACTCCTGCTCTTCCCCGGCTCCCCATTGCCGGCAACTTGGGTCCAGATCACTAGGTGCTGGGAACCCTATTTCCAGGCCTAGGGGAATCCAACTCCAGCGCTTGGCAGGCTGGCACTGCTCAGCATTCTAAGAGACTCTGCATGGCTCTTTGCTGGGGGCCGGGTTCCTCTGAGGAGCCCAGCTCAGAGATGTTGGCACTCTAACCCCCACACAGAGCCCGCACGCAGTGGGCAGGGCAGCCCTGGAGATTCGTTTCTGCCCATCAGCTCATCCCCACAGGGACCCTCCAGTCCTAGGTAATGGCAGCAGCCACGAGCTTGCGGCCACCTCGCCCCCAGGAGAGGGACTCTGACACCCACGCCTCCACAGGGCGAGAGGCAGAGGCAAGAGGAAGACTTTCTGGAGGCCCCAGCTCTGAAAAAACAGAGCTGGTCTGTGTCTCTCCCACCACACACCTCAGGGAAGGAAAGGAGATGGACAGATGAGGGAGAGACCCCATGCTCCCACCCGCTCCTGAGAACTGCAGGCTCTCACCAGCAGTTGGTGACCAGCCACTGCGTGTGCTTGCCCAGCGTGGCTGGAAGCTGTAGCCCCTGGGGAATCCCAGCACCTGAGGAACATCCTGCGGGGCAGCCAGCTAAGGGCCAGGTGCCCACGGGGTTTGGTGGCTGGGCAGCCACTAACATTCACCCTCACCTCGGTCTGCAGGGTGAGGTTGCTCAGGTTCTGGTAGAACTTTATTTAGAGCAGCCACAGGTTGGCATGGCCCTGACTCACACCTGCAGACCCCCGCTCTCCTCGTCACCTCTGCCAGCCCTCACTGTCCCTCAGAGGTGGGGAGCTGCCCTGGCATCCTCCCTCTTCTGTCCCACCCACACTGTGTGACTTGCACTCCTTTCTCTCCCTGCTCCCCCAAGTCCAAGGTATAGGCTGCCCCAGCCACCACAGAGTGAAGCTCTCCAAGCAGCCCTGGCCTGCTCCCTGCCGGCTTCCCTGTCACTCTCCTCCATCCATGTGCACAGCGAAGCTGCCCCCCTCCCCTGGGGTGCGTGCCCATGCTGAGTCCCCCAGTTTAGAGCCTGGCCTTGACGCTGTATTTGGAGCTAGCTCCTGAGGATGCCACATCTGCTCTCACAGGGTTCCCCAGGGCAGCTGGGCGTATCTCTGCACACCCTCCCCACTGTGCCTGCCCACTTCACCCGCTCCATTCCCTCCTCTTGCCTCCCCTGCCCCGCTGTCCTCTCCATCTCTCCATCTCCACTCTTCCTTCCCTGGTGTGCCTGGTACTGAGAAGAGTAGCCCTGCCGCGCTCTCTCTCTCTCTCTCTCTCTCTCTCTCTCTCTCTCTCACACACACACACACACACACACACACACACCACTGTCAGAGAAGCCTGGAGCAGGGCCCAGGCTCAGGCTGAGCATGCTCACGTCTCCCTGGGCAAGTGGGTGGTCACCTCCATGGGTCTTGCCCCTCAGTCCTGCTCTAGAACCACCACTCACCTGGCCTAAGACCTGACCAGCTGTCCCCCATGCAGAACACAGAAGGACAGCGTGGCCTCTGCTTGCCAAAGAGTGAGGGTCAGTGTGGGTTTCTTAGAACCAGACCTAAGGAAAGACCTGAGCACAAGTCATTGTCACTGGTGCACACCAAAGGGAAGCAGTGGCCCAGAGGCCACAGCTGAGCCCTGGGGGTACACCAGTGTGCCCCCCCCCAGAAGCCCAGGCAGCCCACCAGAGGCCAGAAGGAGCTGGATCTAGAGAACAGAAGTGTCAGGAGGATGTGATCCGGGTGTTGGCCACACCACCAGTCCAGGACCACAGAGCAGAGGCAGTGGACACTCATGGGCTGTTGTTTAAATGTGACTTATGCATCAGATTCTTTATCTGAGCGTGCAGCCAATAGCTACTGAATATCTCCGGAGCGCCAGGCACACTGGCTATGCAACAAATCAACCTGAGCTCGTGGCTCCACCTGACAAGCTAGGTTTGTTCTCTTGTTCAGTTTTCATGATCAGGCATTGGGACACGCTATGATGAGCCGGTTCTGCCCCAGGTCCCGCCTGAAAACGGGGCCGGCCTTTGGTGAGGCTTCCATGTGGCCACAGCTTCCCAGAGAGAGCTCTCCCGGAGGGCGAGGCCGGGGGAAGCCGCTGCGCCACAATCCAGGCATTGGAAACAAGTCACTGGGCTGCACCCTTGACGAGAATGGAGCTTGCAGGGAAAGATGCCAGACAATCAGTGTATCTCACAGTCACCCTGGAAGTGGGCGGCGGGGCGGACTTGGCACACCAGAGGTGCCGCTGGCCTATGGTGTGGATGCAGCGCTCTGGGGGTCTGGGGAGAGAAGGCTTCCTGGAAGTGGAGCAGCTGGTCAGACCTCCAGGATGAGCAAGCGGGTGGAGAGTTCCACAGGCCTGGGGCCGGGGCTGTGTTCCCACCAGGGCCCCGACAAGGGCAGCCACAGCAGGCCTCACTGGCCGCGTAGGAGTCTGTTTAGGTTTCCTATTTTACAGGAAAGTGAACAATGATCAATATCGATGAAAGTTCTTTAATTCCACTGGCAGTGCCTGTTCTAGGTTGGCTGAGCCAGGGAGGGGAACACGCTGCCTTAGAAGTGGCTGCCACTGGGAGAGGAGCCCCACAGTCTGGAACCAGGTCCCTGCTGCTTGCTGCTGCCTGCCCCCCTTCCAACATCCCCGAGCATCATGGCAGGCAGGTGTTGGTCCTCAAGCTCTCTGAAGTCTCAGCTCCCAACAGCCCAGCTAGAGTAAGCCAACTCCTGCATGCGTCAGGGCAGCTGAGGTTGCAGCGGGGCCATTGTGGGGGGTAGGCCTGGGGTCTCCTGCTGACCCCTCTCTGCCCTGAGAAGAAAGATAGCTCCACATCACAGGGCTCTCCACATAGGCTCTTTCTTATCAGCAGTGTGCTCCTCAGAGTTTCCTTCTCCAGACAGTGGTTAATCATTTGTCGGCCAGCAACGGTTCTTGGCCCTGTTCACAAAGCCCTGTGACTCTGGACAGCCTCCTTTGGGGACCCCTCAGCCTTGCCATTCAAACCTTTAGCAGAGAGCACCAGGAAATTCTCCCAAAATCTCAGCAGGACGGGTGACGAAGTATGGATTCCCCACTGGCAACAACCAGTCCTGCGATACTTCCTGTGTCACATATGCACACACGTGCATACATGTACAGATATATACACATATCATGTACCTATACACATACACACATTTTGTTCACCAACGTGCATACACACATGCGTGTGTACATGTGCGCACACACACGCACACATACGCCTCCACAAGAAAAAGAGTTAGAACTGTTGAAATACACTTGCACTGCCAGAGGAATAAGCAGAGCACACTGACATGTGATGCACCACGTGCACGCGTCCCCCAAACCTACACCCATGCTGTGAAGCCATCAGTCCTGACTCTAGTCACAAGCTAAGACAAGGAGCTGTAGACACAGGAGGGAAGTCACAGAGCAGAGTGCTACAGGAGAGGGGAGGGTGCAGGCAAAGAATCTGGGCAGCAGCAGGAGGAACAGGAAGGGACAATCTGCAGAAGACACCACTGCAGAACCTGGACACTAATGTCACCCAGCAAAGTCACAGGAGAGAGGGAGGCTGAAGGTCGAGTGTGCTGGCCTGGTACCTCGGCCTTTGTGCTGTGCATCAGCAAAGGCAGAACCTGTGGCTGGGGAGAGCCAGGCCTCCCACCGCCACATGTCAGCGCCACTCTAAGCCCTGTGGACCAGCGTAAAGGGTTCTGCTGCTGGTTGCTCACTGTTTGGTTGCACATGGTTTCCCTTAATTGAAGAGGCATGTTTTGTCTACAAAAAAGGAAGAAGAAAAAAGAAAAAGAAATATACATGTGAAAGAGTAGGAAGCATGTGCACTGTGTGCACATCTATTGAAGTTCTGCACACACAATGCATGTGTCAGGCACCAACCTGCACAAGCTGCCAGGACAGCAGCCCCAGGCCTGTCCTCCAGGCATCCCCCAGCACCAGCAGGCCGCTAGGGTCTCCTCCTAGTTGTTCCTCTCTACTCCCTCTTCCTACTCTGTTGGTGTCTTTTTGTTGTTTATTTACACAAAAAAATCCATATTTGTTACAAAGAAATTAAAAGTAAAGCTAGGTGAAAAGGAAGGGAACATGTAACTAGCCGCCCAGGGGTCCTCACCACTGAGGCTGTATTGCAGACTGAGTGGTTCTGTTTAGACTTGCTCTACAAATAGGCAGGCTGGTTTTTTGCAAGCTAGAATTTAGCATTCTGGCTTTTCTTTGGGAAAAAAAAAAGAACTATTGTGTTTCTACTAGGAGTTCACAACAGACTTGGACAGAAGGGAACATTTGATTGATTTGAGCCTTGATGGATGAGTAGGAGGTCAGAGAGCAAGATGGAGAACGAGGACTCAGGGCACAAGTGGAGAGGAGGAGGCTATGGCCACTTGGGGGACCAGAAATGGCCAGGCAGGATGGAGTTGCAGCAAAGAGAGTGGGGAAGGGGCAGAGCCTGGAAGGAGCTCTCTCCTCCGGGGTACAAGAGGAGGCCCCAAAAGCCAGGACTCCAGAGAGGAGTCTGCACCCTTCAACTGCACATTGGGAGATGACCCAGCAGGAGGGCCCAGGGACCAAAGGAGTGCAGGGTCACACGGCGAAGCTCTGGGCCTCGTGCCCGGGCCAGGCTAGCTAGCAAGCTGCAGAGCAGGGGTCGCCAGGAGCAGGCCTCACTGTGTAATTAGGCGGCCTGTGGAAATTGTGTATTTCTTATGACCAACGTGCTAAATGGAGCAGGCTTAATTAAATTCTGCTGACTTGCCCTCTTGGAGGACCACTGAAGTGTGAGGCACAGCTCATGCAGTGAAGCACAGTGGAAGGCACCACCACCTTCTTCCCCATTCCTGCTCTCAGGAGCCCCTGGCTAGCTGCCATGGAGCCCAGGCTGCAAGCCCTATAGGGAGCCCAAGATCCTGCTTTGTGCAAGGCCACCAACCACGCTTGGGACCACAAGGCCTGATTTCCCCTTGTCCTCTCTGAGCAGGGCCCTGGACACCTGAGACACTAAGCAGTGCCTGGGCAGCCCTGTCCATGATCTCAGGTGCCTGCTGCACATCTACTGAGGGCCTTCCAGTCCCCAGGTCCCTGGGCTGTAGATGCACAGCCTCTGTGTTCCCCTTCCATTTTGCTGCTTGGCCTCTCTCTTATGGCCACTTCTCTGTGATGTTACCTCACCCTTCTGCCCATCTGCCCCCTCCTCGGGCAGCGGGGGATATGAAGAGCTCACTTTCATCCCCCTGGGACACAGGTCACTTCCTACCCACCCAAGGACCATGGTCAGGGTGACTCCTGGACACTATCTGTATAAGTAGAGATGAGTGGGGACAGAAAGTATGGCAGTGATGATAGTAGTGAAGATGGTGCTGGTGGTGTTGGTGATGGTGATGGTTATGATGGTGATGGTGACAGTGATGGTGGTGGTGAT